ATACTTGCAATTAAACAGAAACAATTGAAATTAAACATTGAAAACCAAAGTAGAATACACCTAGAATGCTCCAGCAATCCAATTTGAATGACTAGCACAACTCCAAGCAATCCTCCTTCCTTGCAAATATGCAGCACCAAGGTGTGAGTGGTGAATGGATGGTCTCTTGTGGTGGTGGATGGATATAGGTGAGTTATGGTGAAGGGTGGAGAGTTGTGTAGATGATGTGGTGTCCTTGGATGATGGCCCCCAAATTATAGTGAAGGGTGGATGTATTTATAGGCTAGGGAAAGGAGTGTATGGAGTTGTAATGAGTGGATGTAATGGGTGTAGTGGGTGAGTGTTGTGGTAATGAGTGGATGTAATGGGTGTAGTGGGTGGATGTTTGGTAATGAGTGGATGTAATAAGTGTAGTGGATGAATGTTTGTAATGAGTGGATGTAATGGGTGTAGTGGGTGAGTGTTGTGGTAATGAGTGGATGTAATGGGTGTAGTGGGTGGATGTTTGGTAATGAGTGGATGTAATAAGTGTAGTGGATGAATGTTTGTAATGAGTGGATGTAATGGGTGTAGTGGGTGAGTGTTGTGGTAATGAGTGGATGTAATGGGTGCAGTGGGTGGATGTTTGATAATGAGTGGATGTAATGGGTGTAGTGTATGAGTGTTTGGTAATGAGTGGATGTAATGGGTGTAGTGGGTGGATGTTTGGTAATGAGTGGATGTAATGGGTGTAGTGGATGGATGTTTGGAGTTGTAGGTCAACACACTTGAACACACACATGTTGATTTCTAGCCCTCAAATCTTCAAAAACGTCCATCCTCATGTCTCCATGCTTGCACTATCCAATCTTGGCTCAAAAATGCTCTAAAATGCTCTAAAATGCACTTTCTTGGCAACTTTGTTATTATGACCTATAAACACACGAAAATAGCTTAAAATACATAATTAACTAAGAAATAACAATACAAATGCACAAGAACAAGCTAACTAAGTCGTATAAATATGCTCCTATCAGTGAGTCCTACTTTTGTGAATTCTGTCAGAACACCATTGGATTCCTCGTGGCCACCAAAGCTTTGCTATCTAGAACCTGGAGGGGCGCAAAACAAAATTGAGTGGGTCAGTAAAACAAAGTTTTTCGAAAACATTTCATTTAAAACGTTTCTAACCCCTCGCTGTAAAACCTGTATACTTTCCCAGAAAATAACATAATAGCATATACCTTCAAATATCTCAAATCATCAATCTTTATCAAAACCAGAAAGTATGCCATGTCATAATGTCAAAAACAAAATATGGATGCATCAATATAACAGGTGAAATAAGGAATCAACCGGAGACCCTGCAGTTGGTCCTGTACGGTTAATTCTATAGCTCAATATCCAATCCAACTGGAGTCACCACGGTGACCTATACGGCGCTACTCTGCAAATAAGTCGGAACTACCTGAAGTAGTCTATACGACAAGAATGGTGTAATAATACGCTTTAGTGCTACTCTCATCAATCATCTATGCACATAATCTAAGGTCACCTACCAATCAGAACCACCTCTAGTGGTCTGTACGACTAGCATGTCGGAACCCTCTCATGGTCTGTACGACATGCACCTACTTGGATCCAAGGTGAGTGTACGGTGCGGGTGAATATTATAAGCACTAACACCAGGGGTGCAGGTTATGAGCTCTCAACACAATTCACATCATCAATGATTCACATGAATAACATAAAACTCACATAATACTCACCTGTGCGTCCACAGCACCAATTCACACACACACACACACACACACATATATATATGCATCAATTATCAATTCATATATCTCATAATATGCATGCCCATTTTAAAACGTACTTTCATTTAAATTCAATTTCTGCGAAAAATATCAATAGTATATAGGTATAAACAGAAATACTGCCCACTCACCTGGAGTTCGCCCAACAACTCCCTAGCATAACACATCAAGGTGTCATGACGATCAGCGCCTAGAACAATAATCAAATCCAACCTCAGAAATCATATCGATATAATACATAACTTATATAAAACACGTCACTACGTAGTTCGATCCGGAAGATCTGCAACTCAAATTTCAAATACATAACTTCCAGAGGTCCACAATATACCTCTAGGACAACATCCTAAAATTTCATTATCATCCAACGGTCGGATCTCCGTCAATTTCCAGAACCAAGTGACGGTTAACATTCTATTTTATGAACTTACAACTCCAATTCCGAAAGATCCGTAAATCGGATTCCCGATCCATAAGTTCCTATAATACTCAAATATTACTTATTACAACGTATCAAAGTTTGGTGACGATCCGACAGTTGGATCGTCGATTCACCTTTTGGCCTAACCACGAATCGTAACGAACTTAGGTTCAATTACTCAATTTACGTCCATCAATTATCAAAACTGAACCTAGAACCTTAAACACATGCTAAGAATGAAATTGGCGGGCCATTGGCCACGCGCCGCCGTACGGGCCGCTGCGGGTGGCGGTCGGCCGCCCCGGCTCGCCGGAAAATCCAACTATTTCCAAAAATTCTCAAAAAATACAGAATTGAAGATCTCAATTAGTAGAGTAAACTTTATACCTAAGGCCAAGGCCAATTTGGCCTGGAAACACTTCAATTTCACCAAAATCCGTACGGAACCCTAGAATTGGGTGAGTTCCAATTCGTCTTCAAATCAACTCCGTCGTCCCAGCCAATGCTTGGGCTTTGTTCTAGGTCCTACGGGAATGCTAAAGGTGTTAGTAATTGAAAGAAAACATTTCAAGATTTGAAGAATTTGAACAAGAAAGTCGTGGCACCCACGGGTGCGTTCTTCACCAATTCACCATCAAATTTCATGATTTTTGGGGTGAAACATGAAGAGGGAAGGCCTAGGTGTTGATTGGAAGTGGTACCTTGATCCAATTTGTGAGAATTCCGGTGACAATCGTCGGAATTTGGGTGTGGGTGTCGCGGATCGAAACGGGTCGCGGGTGAAGACCCATTTTTCTTCCTTCTCTCCTCCGCTTCTCGCCCTCTCTCCTTTCCTCCTTTCTCTGTTCCGATTGGCCGGTCTCCTCTCTCTCTTCTCCCCATTCGCCAGCACTCTCTCCTTTCTCTCCCAGAGCTCCTGCTCTCTCTTCCTCTGGTTAGGCAGTTTTGCCCAATCTCTTCTTCTTCTTCTTCTTCTTACGCGCGCACACACACACACAAACCTTCTTTCTTCTCATCCCAGCCATCCATTTATTTCTTCATTAAATCTGGGCCGTCCACTTTCATAAAAGAAATTCCATATTTTACTAAATTATAATTCCTAAAATGCCCAAATTTCAAACGTTAATAAATTTTTCGATATAACTCCAAATCACGCACTGTCTGCGCCCATGCGTCCATAGCGACGAGTACTACGAGGATATGTGAAGAAAACAAATCTTAGATGGCACGACACAACGATTAACCTCGAATAATGCACGTGCCTCAAAGGGCATTTTTTTATAAAATCCTTTATTAAAACTTTAAAACTCTTAAAATCAGGGACGGGCTGTCACATTTATCCATTTATTTTATATATGTAAAATTAGCACAAACCATGTTCTTGATTCAATGATACTTAGCACCCAATAAATTAGCAAGGAATTTATCGGTCATTCTCTCAATAACATTGTTGCAGGAATAATGATTCTCATCATCAAGAAATTCGCCAAATTAATTTAAATTCCTTGCGGATAACCATAAAATTGATAGAAATGCTTTAACAGAAATGTCTTCTAAACAATTTTTGTAACACAATAATACTTGGCAAATATTATATTTACCTTCATTGGTAACAATTAAAAATATCGTCCGTAAACTATTATTTCAATTATTGGAATGATATAAAGACTTAAAAAATTAAAATACGGAAATGTATGATGAATGTACCTATAACAGTGTTTAATTGTCAAAAAAATGAAAATTATGACAATTTTTTTTTTTAATTTTCAAGTTCTTAAAAAACATGTAGACGGGTGAAAAATGGGTAATGGTAAAAAAAAAAAAAAACATAAACGGGTTAAAAAGAGTAAATGGGTAAACGGGTATTAAACGGTTACGGTTAATTGGGTATGCGGTTATGGGTATGGTTAACCGTTTATAAACGGTTATGGGTATGGGTATAACCGTTTAGACAATTACCAAACAGGTAAACGGTTATGTGGGTATGAGTATAAACGATTATGGGTAAATAACCACGGTTACCCGCTCGCCATAACCGTTGCCCATCCCTAATCAAGAAGTTTGAGAAGTAATGATTTTTGTTGGTTTAAAACTAATGAGAGGTCCTAAGTTCGAAATGTTATGTGCATGTTTATTTTTTTCAATTTTTACAAATTTTTGTTTGGTTGTTAATTTATTTACTAGCTAGTAGCTACGTGGGTTGCTATTTTTAAATATCCATTCCAATTCAAGTCTCATCATCAGTAAAGAGTAACGCGTAAACTAAATTTTTAGACCAAATTTGCAAATAATATTACGTGTCATCAAAAGGTTTAATTTAATGTTCATTCATTACTTATACATATCCTTAAAGACCCAAAAACATTAATATTTTTTTAGTCTTATATTGACGAGGTTAGTAAATAAGAAAAAATAATTCACGATTTATACAAAAACACTTTAAAAGTTCAAAAAAAAACAAAACTCATAATCTATTTACTTGTAAGCCCGAAGGTTTTTAGTTTTCTTCTCTTGATACAAAATAAATTAACTATTTTGTATTTCTAAATTATTGAGTTTGAAGTGTTTTTCTAAATATAATTTTATCGATATCTTACGTGTGAAAATAAATATTTGCTTTATGTGAAATGAGGACACATTTTTTAACATCGCTCCGGACCTAAAAAATCTCTGGACCGGCCCTGTAAATGGGTCGAGTTTTTTTTTTTTTTGTAATTTTATTTTATCAAATGATAAATTTTGTTTAATTAGATATTAAATTAATCACCGACAGAATTCGACAGGTTAAGTGAGTCGAGTATTTGTGTCATTAAATCATTTACAACAAGTTTAAGAGATACAGTCGACAGTATAGCCTCAAAAGCTACAACATGAGCCAAATCTTCTTGCCATTTACACACAATGCAAAGCAAGAACTTGAATTTTTTTTAATCAAAAACCAAAATGATTGAGAACCAAACCATGATGCAGGCCCTGTCAAGGACGCTTTAATAGAATGATCACTCGATGAGGCCCGATACGTGTCTCGCTTACACGACCAAGGTGACGAAGGACCTGTGCAGCAGCAAAATGCCCAAGGAAAATGGAATGAAAAAGAGAAATGCCATCACAAAACCTTAGTCATCATCATTCAAGTAAATATATAGCACAAAAACTCTTTTTTAATCAGTTATTCGAACTTAAGACCTCCTTGTTAGAGGAGAAATGAGATCATTAACTATATCATACTCCCGCTATATTCTACACGTATGACTGGCTAACTCGATTTGCCAACGGAAAAGATAACAGAAACGTGATAGGAAGTTTATGGAGGAGATAGTAAAGCTTCATGCTAATCTTGAAAGCATCTCATAAGCATCATAGAGTTTAAACAATTAACTACAAAAACAGAACTTTGAATTATGTAAAACTTTAGACCTGGCAATTTCTTACACGACTTGTTAACAAGACATGTAAACGACACGAAAATAATCGGTTTCAGGTCGACATGATAACTAATTGGGTTGTTATCGGGTCACACAATAAGAACCCATTAATAACGGATCATTAACAGGTTTACACGAGATTGACATGCAAATAATCTGTTTCGACACATTAAGAAAAATGTTATTTTGATAATTTTAATTTTTTAAACTACTTAAAAAACTTACTATAAAATACGAGAGCCGTATTGTATATGTATATAGTGTATATTAAAATACGAGAGTGACATGCGGATAATCTATTTTGAAACGTTAAGAAAAAAGTTATTTTAATCATTTTAATTTTTTAAACTACTTAAAAAAGCTTACTATAAAATACAATAGCCATATTGCATATGTATATAGTGTATATTAAAATATGTATTACTGTATTATTATTCTATATAAATTTAACAATTTTTAAGTTTTATTTATTTTTATAGTGTACTATAGGCAAGGAGTGAGATTAAAAAAATTATAAAACACATTAAAAATAAAAATATCAAGTAATTTAAAAATACCAAACACATCGAAAAAAATATAATAATTAATTTACAAGTGCGAAAAAATGTGAAATAATATGCAAACCCTCATAATCACATCCTCTACACTTTGAGGATGGGTACATCGTAGTTCGAATTTTTAAAACCATACAAACCCTCATGAATAGTATTTTTAAGGGAGTTCAAAATAAACCAATATCATTTCCCTTGGTGATTGATGAAATTTGAAGGGTTTTGTTGTAAAAAAGAGGTGCAAGGTTTCATCAACCTTGAAACATAACTCCTTTCATTTTTCATATCCTTGAACATTTGGTATTTTGTTGTAATGTACTAATGTTTTTTATTACTCTTACGTTGGGGTATGTAATACTTAAAAGACAAATGTTATTTTTATGTTTTGAAGTAATATTTATGTGACCAGGTGATATACATATACAAATTTAGTATTATGTTTTCAATTTTTTGGGGGTCAAATTATGTTTTCTATTTCATTATTTATTGATTTAAAATATATTTTCCTTATCGGGTAATGGATCGGGTCATATTATTTGATAAGATTAATGGGTCGATTTCGGATCAGGTCATATTACCGTTCACTTTAACGGATGTTACACGACACGACCCGTTAAGATATCGGGGTATATCACGAAAACGACACGAATGTCAGGTGTATATAAAACCAACAGTAGCACGAGTATGCTAAAACTACTTTTAGGATGAAATTCCCACTGAAACCAAGCACATCAGGTTTGAAATAATTACCGGGGTAATTTAACCAAGACATGAAATAATCAGTTTGCAGTTCATGAAGCATGGGAAGGTAAATGTATACTATTTACTTAAAGTTATGCCAAAAACAGGTGAAGTTTTCTTTAATTGCACTACGATATTTCTTCCCTAACTTCTTTTTCAGTTTCTAAAATCATAAAAGTTTGAAAGAAAAAAAGGCAAGGCACAAGCTTACAGTTAGTATTGCTTTTCCAGTGTTGTCAGGCTTCAAGGTTGGTCCTTTCATGTCAGTTTCGAGAAAGAAGTGTTTTCCCTTTATTCCTTCTGTCATTGCAATGTCCCTCATTTCCTGCATATTTTATGGTGGGAAGTTGGGAACTGAATGCTAATGCATAAATCAACAGTTACATGCGATGCTCAAGAATACGACACCTTCACCAAGGATGAAGAGGCTTATATGATGAGAGAGAGCTACCTCCCACTTTGTAACCCATGCTATTGGCCACCAACAAAACCCCCTAGACAATTTAAAACATATAACCTGGTTAAGTTCACTTACCAGCGCCTTTTCCCAAAGATCTCCTGCTACCTGCATGATGATTGGTAAACCAGAGTCAGACGTGTGCAATAGCATCTATGTACGAACCAAAGACTCAGAGAGACAGAATGCAAACCTTCTTCTTTGGGGCAAATATCAGCTGAGCGTTTGCTTCTGCATACGTCGCCATGTCATTAATAGCTGCATTGATCTTCTCTACTGTAAGCCTTCCCCTCATGTATCTGCGATTCGAAAATTGGGGAAAGAATTAGGAGACAATATCGGATTATCCAATATGTATCACCTTTCATTTGAGTCCTAGCTATCATATTCTCCTATATGCTAAGGCAACAGAAAGAAAGTTACGTAGCGAGCTGAAAACCTTCAGGATCATAATATGTGAGCCGTAGTATCATACTGCAGGTGGAAAGAGTTTTGGAGCTTATAAATGGCCGGAACATTCTTCAATGAGGTAAAAGTTGTTGTGCAAAAGCACACAGTGGACATGGGACTCACTCTTAAGTCTTAACAAATAAAGTAAGATAAGTTAAGAAAGAAAATTCAACCCACTCACCCTGACAAAGAATCCAGCTCTTCAGCAGTTATAAACCACAATGGTGGAGGGGAACGTCCCTTTTTCTCCTGAAATTAACAAAAACAGAAACAACAAGTGAAGTGATTATCCTGTAGCTACTGTATCTCCAACATATAACTAATGACAGTTCCAGAACAAGCTAGCCATATAACTGATACAGAAATAGTTTTCCGCACATCAATTCTCGAGTTATGAAAGAAAGACAAGGTATATGTAATATTGCAATATTAGTATGATAGTACTACCAAGCAATAGTATGAAGAAAAGGGTCACTCTTTAAGAAATAGTAAGAAATTAATCATCCAAATAAGTGCACGAACAAGAACAAGGACATGATTCTTCAAAGAGTATTCGAAGTTTTGCAGCACATCACAAATTCTCAATTGCAATATATGTTGTGGACATCCCTTGTTCCTTATTGATTGCATTGGCTGTGCACAAGTAGCGTGCGATGTGTGTGCGCAGAGAGCATTTCTTACCTTAGGTAGTGCAGCAGGCTCTTCCTCAAGCTTGAAGGACCCAAAACCGGTATTTTGTTGAGATCCTTCTGGAAACAAACTGAAATACACAAACATAAATCTCTACCTACCAAATACAAATAATGTAAGAGACCCAAATCAATAATGCTTAATCCATGGATGCATGAGAAACTTGTCTTACCACTTATTAGTATCCAAATTCAACATCGACATTCTTTCGGGAACATGCGAGGGCACATAAACTGACATGTCCTGCAATTTCTTTTGCTGCTTCAGCGCGGCATCGATGAGTTTCTGCCATCACATTACAACATCAAAGTACAATTCGCTGAAATTTCAACAAGCAAAACATGTTCCAGGATTAATTAAGTAAATTATCGCCTGCCCTAATGATCAAAATTGGTTCTTTCACTTTCCCATTTGGTGGATATAAAATTAAATTTTGTAACTTGAATTTTCCTAGTTGCCAAGCACATCCTAAGCTCAACAAACATTTGAACGAATTTCCCCAAACTTGAGAGAGAGAGAGAGAGAGAGATAGAGAGATAGAGAGAGAGAGAGTACTTTAGCTTTAGGGATGGCTAGGGTTTCGTCACGCAAGCGGTCCTTGATGGCCTGAACCTGAAGCTCCATGGCCTTCACGGCCGCGTCGAGGGCCGACAAATCGGTGACGCTGCTCGCCGGGTACACTGCCACACGAACAATTCAGAGGTTATGCGGACAAGTATGATTACAAGAATTGGATGAAGCAGTAGCAGGCGGAGGAGATGGGTCGGGTCGGGTCTTACTGTTTCGCGCAATGACGAGATCTTGAAGCTCCGCGATCCGACGGTTGAACCCTGAGATAACCGAATCCAACGACGCCCCTGCTGTCTTTACCTCCATCTCGTTCTCTCTCTACCTGCCTTGAGAAACTTTCAATCTCTCTGTTGGATCGGAAAATCTTGAGTTTTTTGGTTTTCAATTTGTGGAAACTGTTTTAGCGGGAAAATGTGTAACGAAAAGCTTGAAACTACTGCCTACCCGCTATGCTAAAGGCCCAAGCCTCCAGGCCAAGTTCTCTAGCCCACCTCAATTTGAAAACCCAACTTGAGGAACAAAACTTGAAAAATCTCAAGTTGTTTTTGTACCTCAAATTTATAGGCCAAGTTCACTTTATGATTACTTCGATTAAATCATTTTAATCTCTATATATAAAGCAAACACCCTAAACCCCAATCGGGTGAAACATTCAAATATCCCTAAAATACCGCTATGTTATTAAGGGTGTCAAAATAAAACAAGTTAAAGTTTTCAACTTTCACACATTAAGTTTTTTCAATGCGACCTAAAGTAAGAATGATGGAACACTTTCATACATCCGTTAGGTTTTTCGTGAAAACCTCTATTAACCTGTAACATGACATCCAAGTGGACAATAATTGGCTCCATGTGAACATCGAAAAATTAAAAAATATATATAAATAGAACTAAAAATTAAAAACTAAACCCTAAAAGTTAAAAAATTTAAAAATAAAAAAACTAAAAACTTCTACCCCACCTCCTTCAGAACACCAAAAAATCCAGAAAGAAAAACTAAACCCTAAAATTTGAAACCCAAAACAACATCAGCCGCTCCGCCTAATCGACCAAGACCGCTCAACCCACTTGTTCCTCCTAGTCCACCGAGACCACCCAAGCCGCTAGTGCCGCCTAAGCCACCAAATTCACGGCAGCCAATGTATATTTATAACTTCAAACCAACAATTCTTTTTCAATTCTGCAAAAAATGGTGATTGGCAAAGGATGAGAATGAACTCGATTTGGGGTTGTCGATTGGATTAAATAAACATTTGATATTTTGTTATGTTATTTTAAGTATAATTGAAAGCGTGCAGTGAAGTGAGTTGTGTCAAAAGTGTGTTTTTAATAGGTGACCTAATGCATTATTTTAAGCATAGCTTGTTCTCTTGCCCTATACAAGAGAGCGAAAAATGGTAGCAAAAACGTACGAGTGAGACTATGAGATGTGAGACTATTGGTATAGTGGATACAATTATAACATGATCTACAACGATCACATATATAAGGTTACATTCACATACAGTAGACATAATTGGCTTGGAATCCACAAGGATCATATATATAAGGTTAGAGTGACAATTTGCAAGTCTTGTTAAAGTGACAGTTTGCAAGTCTTATCACATATATAGGGTTTAATTAATAATATAAAAATAAGGATGTGTGTACATTAATGTACCTGCACAACTACTAAACTTATCATTACCACAAAGTGGCACAATAACCAAAAAAATATAATTAAAAATATCAACCATGCAAGCACACCATCAGTCATGATTGCCCACCAAACCCTAGCATTAGGTTTAGCAAAATTTGACAACTCAACCGGTGCACATTATATGCACTTCATGTGCGCCATGCACATGGCATGCACATAATATGTACAATTTTTCCAAAATTTCCTAATTAATGATCTTAAAACAGGGCTATTAAATTAGACTAACTAAAATTTTGATTTAAGCATAACTAAAAGCATACAATGGCCGTTTGTGCGTGCATCTGTGGAGTGAGTACTGTCAAAGGTGTGTTTTTAATAGGTGAACTAATGCATGAGTGGGAAAAATTGCGGCAAAAAGGACATGAGTTAGTCTATGTGTTATGAGCCTAGGGACTCTCTTAAACACTTGCCGTTAAAATGACTCCATAAGACTTAGTGATAAGACAAGGTAGATATAGGGTTTGGTGATAAGATAAGGTAGATATAGTCTCTTAATAATTTGATTTGCACACTTGCTTCGTAATAATGACACCTTGGGTGCCGCTCATTACTACCATAAATTGATGGTTTTTTTTTTTTCAATTATGGCTACTATTAGGGTCTTTGATGGTTTTTTGCAAAATAAAAAATAGAAAGGCCATATAATTAGGAAGAAAAAAAGTACATGAGAAAAGTAAAGGAAGAGAAAAGATTGTGTTAAAATTTAAACGCTACTATTACAAGAAAATTAAACGAAAATAAACAAGGGAAAATTTGAAAGAGGTCCAATTTTATATTATAACCCATCTTTTGAAATAGATTCAATTTTTAGTGACTTTTGATTTTTGAAATAGATCCAATTTTTAGTCCAATTGGACCCATATCAAAAGACCCCAATAAACAAATTTAGTTAACCTATCTTTACCACATAATGTATCATAAAATATATTTACTTCCTGATGACATCTGCAGGAATTACACTACTGAAATTTTCATAGCCAAAGAAATCCCATTGCAATAGGACCGTGAAAGGATCCTATGGACTTCCACAATTGCTGCATGTTTTCATGGCAGCATTGTCATATTGAAATTTTAGAATTTTAGCTATTACTTCCCTATCCACTCAAAGACCTGACAAACACCGCTAAACCATCTTTCTACATTCCAATACACTCAACCATCCAGATTTGTGATGATTGAGAGAATACAGAAGCTTGAGGCCTTCATACTTCAATTCCCCAATCGTCCCTAAGCACACCAAGATGACACCATGCACATACTTTGCTACTTCATGACCCCTTGAGATCGCCATCTTCAAAGCCTCAATTCCATCTTTTTCTTATTGTCTTGGAAGAAGTATGTCATCCCTAGCATGTACAGGGCCTCGGAATTGCCACAATCTGTGTAACGTTTCAAGAAGTTGGAGACATCTTCATTATTGCTCCATGAACTAAGTGGTTAAAGCCTTCAAATTCCCTAATGTTGATGTGTTCGAATATGTGGTTGTCTTGACCGATTTGGTTGAACTTCTTGCACACCATCTTTGCTAAAAACGGGTCCTTAAAAGATCGAGAAGCAACCTTTGTCATTTTTTGGACAAGAAGTTCGTCCAGAAGAGATTGTATGGGCGATGAGGTGATTCTGGCTTTCTTCATCTTTTTGAACTTGTGGCTTTGAAATTAAACACAAACCCTTAAGAAGACAACTTAAATAGGAGGTTTATATCTTAGACAAGAAGGGGAAGAGATATGACTGAGAGAGTGAGTATGTTGGAATTAAATGGTTCTGACAAGAAAAGGAATTTGGTAAATATATAACGATGAAATACCCTTTGAATACAACTTTTCCCGTTGAATACAGCTGTTCAGTTATATCCAACAGTCATATCCTTTAGAATTAATTAATTAATAAATAAACAGTTATATTATTTCTTTATTAATTAATTAATCTATATCACTATAATCATAATCATATGTATATTAGTATACCAATGTTACAGTGTATCTTCACACATAATTACACATATTGTGAGAACCATGTTATCATAATCATATTCCAACACAAATACAGGAATTATAAGGTCCCTAATTCTAGAATAATGGCCAATTGTTAGTTATATATATACAAATCCATATACAAATACATGATTTGTACACTATATACACATGGTATGCACATAGTATGCACACTACATACACATGATATGTAAAAAACTCCTTGGCCAAAGAGTTGCTTATGGCATTTTTATGAGCTTTAATTAAAAAAATTACCGCATTAAATTCAAATAAAAAATTAAAGTCATGTCTCAAAACTATATTACTATGATGTTTTCTTTCAACATAATTAGATCCTCCTCTAAATTGTATAGAACCAAAAAGGAATTGACTTTTATATGGTAAAACATAAGGCTGGCTTTAGAAAAAAAAAACAAAAAAAAAAAGATGTAAAAACCATCAAGTTTCAAACCTATGTCTTGTTGAAACTATCAAATTATACTCACCAATTGACCTGACACTTAATATTATTTAAGCTTGCACACAATTGATATATAGTAGAAAAATTCTAGAATGGGCTTAGACCAACCCTGGCATCCATGTGGCTCTGCCACTGATCAATTTCCCTAACCTATATGTAAGTTGGAAATGAAGTAGCAGGAGTTGATAAGCTATATGTTGGAATGAAGTAGCAGAAGTTGATAAGCTATATGTTGGAAATAAAGTAGGGGGTGTGAGATTTGACAATTCACTAACCTATATGTTGGAAATGAAGTAGCAAGAGGAACAAAAAACGGAGTGGTGGGGATTCCTACAACTTTCGTAGGTCATATGCATCAAATCCTCACCACACAAGTACCTTCAAAATAATCGCTATTTCACCCAATGGGTTTTCATCCACATCAATGATACACTTGTATAAATAGGCTTCTCACACTTATTTTCCATAACTATTAACCCATAGCAAAAAGTCATTGCACTTCTCAAATAGCCAAAACAATTCACAGCACCAGCATGTCCAAGTTCAGACAAATTGAGGATTTTAACATCGAGTTCCACGGGTGGTACAACATGGAACCTCCTCCACTTCTGGATTATCCAAGGCAAATCATACGTCATCATTTAGCTCTGTTGACTGTAAGACGTCACTAGAAAATATAGATCACGTCTGTGGGAAATTCGATTATGAGACGGGCGTTGCCGAGCATTGGAACCACAAGCTAGTGAAGGCAAAAAAAGAACTTGTGGACCTCAACGGTAAAGCCAATGAAGCGTTATACCATGCAAGCTAGTAGAAAACAAAACCTAACACGTCTCAACAAAGGATCCATTTCTTAAATTTTGAATTGTCGCAGAAGCGTCGTGGCCATATTGAGTCGTATGAGCATTCTCGAAAGGGAAAGACCGAAATGGATGAGGAATGCAACAAGGGTTTTGAGGATATTCGTCAGGTAGCGAAGAGAAATGAACCGCATTAATCACAATGAGATTCTTTGATAGTGAAGGAGGTCAAATCGTTTAATAAAATTTGGTGATCGTTTGGTGAAGGTTGTGCTTAATAGCTATGGTAGAATAAATTTGAGGGCTTAGATGTTAAGTAATGTAACATAGTTGTGCAATGTATTTTCTAACTATTATATGATAATGAACATAAGGACTATGTATCCTTGTTATCTTCAGCGTCTACCATTAAGGGTGGGCATTTGGAACCGAAAACCGAAACCGAAACACGAACCAAATCGAACCGCACCGAACGGTTTGGTTTTGAGGGTTTTGAAACGGTTTT